AGGAGTGAAACTCTAAAACATCTAGAGTGCACTTGTACACACACACACACACACTTGTACACAGGGCCGTTTCTAGCCAATTTGACGCCCTAGGCGAAATCCCTATTGCCCAAAATTGTATATATATATATATATATATCACACACACACACACACACACACACACACACACACCTATGAACTGGTGTGACTGTAACACTGCAACTATGTAAAATCAAATCAATAATTCGACTACAATGCAGTAAAAAAGTGGACAGCAAGGAAGGGGTTACACTCTTAAACATCAAGAGTGTAAAATGGATACATCCACTCACACACACTTACTTACACACACACACTCCCGTATAAAAACAACTAGGGAATTCACAAGCCTCTCTTTAGAGTCCTTCTTTTTTGCTTTTTTGCTCTCACCAGGAGGTGCTATTCTGCCTTTAAAAATTGGATTTTAATGGCCTAGTCTCTATTTTAATCTGAAAAATAATTTTTAAAAAATTAGAAAAAAAATGGTACTATTTTCAATGGGAAAAATTGATCATAATTGTTGCATAAATATTAATTAGTACCATGAAATTCTCTCAAAATACAAAATAACAAATATTATTGAACAAAAATATATTAGATTGATTTTACTGAAGAAAAAAAAAGTTATATTTCAGGTGTCCGGTCACTTTTGACCACGAAGACTATGAGTGTGACTCCCAAATGAGGAGCGCAGAAGGGTTAATACTGGTTTTGTGGTCCAGGGTCACATTATGGTTGCAGACAATATAGCATCCTGTATGTGGAAATGCAATGCAAATGTGGTTTTGTGTTTGCACGTGCAAAATTACACACGTTAATGCTGTTTAGTGTGTAGCTGAAATAGTGTGTTTGTTTAGTGTAATGTGATGTTTCTGTGCTTTTTTTGTTTTGCTGTGTGTGTAAGGGTGAGAGCCGTTTGATCCGACTGCAATTTGATGGCAGTGGTCGAGCAGAAGCAGCTGGTTTTTGCAGTAAAGCTGTGGAGAGGCTGCAGGATTATGTTCCTGTCCAGGAGCATCTGAGCACACCTGCATCTGCTGCTCCATCCGATCCTGCAGAACCTGGACCATCTACACAGCAGCAGCAGCAGCAGGTTGGAAATACTCAGAATGTGGAAATCTATGGGGTAATGATGGTATGTAGGTACTACTAGAGCTGGTTGCAGTGATAAGAGTGAGTGACAGTGGGTTTGTCCTTTGGCTTTTAAGCAGCTCCTAGCAGGTCACATTGACTGGCAGGTAATTACTGGTGAGCTTGCAGGTAAGTGCTGGATAACACCACCAAATGAACAAGGCCTGAGCAGAAAACAAGCAGCTATCTATCTGGAGTTGCTGTGCATGGTATTTCTAAACAGTAACAAGCTAACACTTGTGCAACACGTTTAATGCACATAACAGAAATAATTTATTGATTTATAAGATAATGAAAATTCACCCATTTATCTGTCTTGTCTGTACTTAGTGTAAATAACATTTATATCAACCTATAAACAGTTGAAATTACTTCTGCAACACGTTTAATGCATGTAATGTGACATATAACAGAATATTTAGCAGTAAATTATGTAGGACAGGATTTAATTGAGTCACAACATCTATCTATCTATCTATCTATCTGGACTTACTGTGCATAATATTTATATCAAGCTATAAACAGAAATGAGTTGTGCAACACGTTTATTGCATGTAATGTTATTTATAGGCTAACAGTATATTTAGCAGGAAATAATGCAGGACAAGATTTAATTGGATGACAGAACTGGCTTATGATTTATTTAATATTTTCCCCGTTGGTTATGCAGCTGAAAACATTTGAGAAGTTCTATTTTGATGAAAGATAGTTGTTTTTAGCATGCAAATATGAAGTATGCATGATGAGACCAGGAACATTTATTAAAAAATAAATGTAGTCAGTTTTGATTTCATGTTAAGTGCAGATAATTTAACTAATAATCAATGTTAATTTGTATTTCCGTCACTAGGTGGTGCTGTTGCCACATAATGATAATAAATGGGCGCTGAGAGGGAAATAATCCCACCCTGTGAACTGAACTGTTTATTTGAGAATCTGAAATGTAAATACACAGATTCGTGGCTCTAAATATAGTGAACACACAAGCACGAAGGGAAGTCTCTGTGTAGAATATGACAGCGACGCCCCGCAGCAGGATGAGAAAGATTGCCAGGGATGAGAACATTTAATTAGTAATGAGGGTATTGATTGGCTGGTGAGACCCTCCGTGTGAGTCCTGAGACTATAATGAACGGATCTATTTCTGTTTCCACTTCAGGCCCCTGAAGATGCACCACGGGCGGCCCCTGCCGTTGCCATGGAACCGCTGTCAATCAAACACCTTTCTCAGGTACCACTGGATTTCCATTGATCTGCTGTCGAGTCACTGCATTAGACGCTGTAGTCTGTGATATTTTAATTTGACCTCTGAGATGTCACCCTGACTTTTTCATGCACATTATAATCTCTTCCTCTTCAGTACTTCCTGGGCGAGCGTGAGCTGACCCTGCCGATGGCGTTTCATCAGTGCACGCTGCCCTCTGGAGACCTGGAGGCACTACTGCGCCTCTGTCTGCTCGATTCTGGTTTTCCTGCTTTCGTGGAGGACGTCGAGAAGAAGCTGAAGGAGCTGACGCAAGAATGAGGTAGAGCTGTGCTCTCAAAATCACATCACTGTTGTTTATGGCAATTAATGGCAATAAAGCTGACATATAAATATTAGATCAAAAACTTAAATAGAAATGTTGTCTTGGCAACTAACTGACATAAGCAGTAAAATTATTAAAAATCATATTAAATTAAATAAAGCTGAAAGAAAATAAATAATAGATGAAAAACGTGTTTAATGCGTGTTAACACATGCGATTAATTTTTTTCAGTTTAACGTGTTAACAAAAGAAAAAAAAAGAGGAAATCAATAACTTCTGTAGCTTTAAGGATTCATCTATATTTAATTGTTTGATAACTTTGTTCAATTTCTGTATATTTCCTACTTGCTGAAGGGCACATGTAGCTAAATATGACACTTATTATAATGGGTTTATGTGAAGATTGTTTTAAGTTCACTTAAATTAGAAGTTGTTATTTTTTATGAAGTCTAATAAATGTTAAAATTGATAGCTCTCAATTATACTGTAATGTTGAATGGCTTTAGTCAATGGCTAAATAGTAAGAAAAAAAAAAATTAATAGAGACATCAGTAGTATTGGTATCGGTGATACTCGCCTTCAGACATAAAAAAAAGTTTGCATTAAATAAATATTTAAAAAATACTCTATGTTGTTTCTACATTAATTTGAAGATTGAATGTGAAATTATTGCATTATAAATTATATTTAAAAACTTTGTTAGGTGGGATTAATCGCGATTCATTTCAGAAAAAAATGTGATTAGGTTTTTCTTTGAATCGATTGACAGCACTACTAAAACTCTTAAAAATCATTTAATTGAAATAAAGCTGAAATAAAATAGAAATATTAGAAAACTTAAAAGTAAAAAAAAAAATGTAGCCTCGGCAACTAACTGAAATAGAATAAGTTTAAGTACTAAAATGACTAAAACTATTAAAAATAATTCAGTTAAATTAAATAAACCTGAAATAAAATATAAATATAAGATGAAAACCTAAAAAAAAAAAAAGGTAAAAAAAAATAGAAATGTTGCGTTGGCAACTAACTAAAATAGAGTAAGTTAACACAACTAAAACTATTAAAAATAATTTTGTTAATTTAAATAAAGCTAAAATAAAATATAAATACGGAAAAATTTTAACTTAAAAAATGTAATAAATAAATAAAAAAGGAAATGTTGCATTGGCAACTAACTGAAATAAAATAAGTTACTGATTTTCAGTAAAAAGTCAGCCTAGCAAAAGTTTGTCTGTTAATATGAGACGGCAACAGTTGCTGAGGTGGGAGACAAATCTCAGCACATTCATTCAGAATGATACAAAAACACGTATTTTGGAACCTTTATTCTGAAAAAGGAAACAATTGGTTTCATATAGTCTGTAATGGCTTTAGCTCCACCCACTTCCTCCCTTGTATGTTGGTCCGTTGTCATGGTGACACACACTGTATTGATCAGGAGTTGTCATGCAACTACAGCAGTGCTTTTTAAATGCGAAGCACCCTTATCTCTGAACTGTCCCGTTAAAGCTTTTTATTCTCTGTAATTAAACAAACCCACCCCACCTTACAATTGTCAATAGGTCTATATGAATACATATTGCATAGGATCATAGCCATGCTGTACAAGAATCATCTTTTCTCTAAAAAGAAACAACATTTACAAAAAAAAAAGATATATTCTTTTCCTTTTTACAGATGCTATCGTAATATTTGAACACTTACAGCACCACATGTACAAGACGTCTAAATAACTCTAGAAAATAAATGTTACATGTATTTCATTTAATACAATATCAGCTTTAAGATTAAATACTGTTCTGCCACTCACAAAGGTTCTTGCATTCTAGTTTAAGACAAAACACCTCCTTTTAGTATTGTTTTATTGGATGATAAACTGTACAAAGATCTCAATGTTTCCTTACTTTTTTATCCATTTAAATTTCTTTAAAAACACACACACACACGCATGCTGATGTGCTCTCTCTCTCTCTCTCACACACACACACACACGCACACACACACGCATGCTGATATGCTCTCGCTCACACACACACACACACACGCGCACACAAACACACACACGCACAGACATGCTGATATGCTCTCTCTCAAAACATTCGCACACATCTAATTGAGCCTACTCTAATAGGACGCTTGATCATAGCTGCTTGAGCACTTATGATATTAATTTAGCAAAGGCCTAATTTCCACTCCTGAAAACACGGCACTTACATAAAAGAAAGGAAGCAAGAAAGTCTTAATTAGATCTATGAATAGACAATGAAGGAAAGCACAACAGGCTAAATGGAACTGTTTACTGGCTTTGTTCCACACACACACACACACACACACACACACACACACGCACACACTAGCTATTCATTTGGATGCAACGCCACTTAAAGTAACAATAGAAAACAATATCTGAATCTTATTCGATTATGTTATTGCATGCATTCGAGACAACATGTAGATATGAAAAAGAATTAGTGCAGCAGGAGGGCATGATAAAATAATGAAATGCAACGTTAACAGCACATGTAGTAAAATCATCACCTTCAGAATGATTCGTCAGCGTCCACATTCACACAGATCACGAGCCTGAATAAGGCAAACTTGAGACAGTCTTTATTGTTCGTTTCTGCCAGTGTAATGCTGTCGTTATTGTTGTTTTCTTCTCCACGTGAGGCAGGATATGCGTCGCTGGAAATCGCCAGGAGCGTCTCCTCTCCTCGGTTTCGTCCGTATGGTCAGGATATGCAGTTGGTCATCTGGAAACAGGGGAAGGGGAAGCATTAGTCGACTAAACGGAGTGTTCGCATGCTGTTTTGTAACTCCACAATGGATTATAAAGTGTAAACCTTCAGCTTTCTTCTACATCGGTCCGTGGGCTCAGTTGGTGTACCGCTGTCGTACGTGTTTGTCTTTGTGGTTGTTTGTAGAGTTCGTTTTTCTGCATGACAGATGTGTACGTTTAAACACTTTGAAGCATCATAACGACACGCGTTAATAAACTCATTTATAGTGTTCATAAATTGTGTTCTTACATTGGTTCAACTGGATCATCATCTTCATCAGGGTCGACACGCAGGTGAAGAACATGCAAGAAAAAAAGATATATTAATTCATCACATATTACACTATACTTACACTGGATCTTTTTTCTGAAGTGGTAGTTTCATGTAACACAAAATGAGATGATAAATTGATTGTTATTCGGTTAAATGGTCAGTGTAAAATGCAACAGCAGCCAAATGCATTTTTTTAATAAGTTTTATATTATATTACATTAATATATTATATTCTAAAGTACTAAAATTTAAAATTAAATAAAGTTAAAATAAAAAATTAACATTAGATGAAAAACTTAAAATATTTAAAATTGGAAATGTTGTCTTGGCAACTAACTGAATAAATAAATAAATTTTATGTTTAAGTAATAAAATTACTAAAAATAATTTTATTAATTGAAATAAATCTGAAATAAAATATAAACATTAGTTGAAAAACTTAAAATATAAAAAAAAATAGAAATGTTGCCTTGGTAACTCACTGAAATAAAATACGTTTAAGTTGCAGTACTAAAATGACTAAAACTCGAAAATCATTTGTTAATTGAAATCAAGCTAAAATAAAATATTTGTTAAAATATTAGATAAACAATGTTAAAAATAGAAATGTTGAATACATAGCAATTATGAACAACTAGAAATTACATTTTTTAATGGAAATCAATTGGTGTGGTGACCCTGCATAAATCTACTCTGCAGATGAATAAAACAGCAGTAAAGCTCAAGCAGGTTATTGCTGATGCAGGAAGGTCGTTTGAGTTAGAGGTCACCACAGACAGATGGGTAGTTCTGGTTAGTGTATGCGTATGCATTCACAGCGCTGGACACAGAGCAGCTTATGACGGGACAATATGAGTCTCTGACACATCTGAGATCAAAACCTCACAGCCATCAGACTATACATTCAGATCAACAGCGCAAAAATAATCTATCAGTACTGTATGCTTAACACCGGTATCACCGTCAGCACCGTCTATCGCCGCAAGCCTAAACTGTACCTATAACAGACCAAACAAATGTTCCAGTGCAAATCTCCAACCCATTCTCATGAGTCAGGAGCTCCAGAGTAAAGGGTCGTTCACACTGACCAGCGACTCGTTTCATTTAAATGTTTTAATTTTATAATGAGATTTGGGGATGTAATGTGGCCATTTCAAGTAACATGTAAAGTTGAGTAGAGTTGAGCAGAGTTTAGCTTTATGCAAATGTTGAGCGACATAATGGACTCAGTTTTCACAGACACGTTTCCAGTTATTAACATCAAAAATCTATTTTTTTTTTTTATAATTTCATTTTTTTTGATGTATTGTACATTTATAAAACTATACTTTGTGCAATATTACCTTGTCATTAAATGACAGTTTCTAATACAATGACAAATTTGACATCTTTGTCTCTTCTGATCAATGTAATCAATCTATCCATATTTTTTTTCCCTCTTTTGGAAATCATAGAAACACTTTTGTGGTTTGCAAGGTCATATCTCACATTTAAATTAGAAGAAAAAAATTAAAAAGTTTACAAAACTGCTTACAGCACATTTGAGTTTTCATTGCAATTTCATTGCAATTTCAGGCAATTCCAATCATTGATAAACATTAATCTTGTTCATGATATAATAGATTATATACAGCTGCTTTACCCTATATCATAAAACATTATTATATTATATTACATCATATTATATTATATTATATTATATTATATTATATTATATTATATCATATTATATTATATTACATCATATTATATTATATTATATTATATGACATCATATTATATTACATCATATTATATTATATTATATTATAAGCTACTGTGGTTTACAAGGTCATATTTCACATTTAAATAAAAAACAATTCAGCTAAAAACAGCTAAAACTGCTTACAACACATTTGATTTTATAATGCAATTTTAATTGCAATTTCAGGCAATTCCATTA